CTACTACTTTGCAAAAATGACAGCCCAAACAACCCTGAAATAAATCATCTAGTGCAAAAGTGCTACAACTGAATCAATCTTCTTTTCTTAATATGAGGGAATGTGCAAACCTTTTCAGTTATTTTGTTTTACCAAATATGGTTTTATTTTAACAAAATTATTATACCAGAAATTCTATAGCTTCTTAATTTCCGTAGATTCTTAATTTCATGTGCATAAGGAGTATTTTGTGAAAAGAAACATTTTTCATTTTTATAATTAATTAAAGGCAATCTCCTTTAAGTAAAACAATGCTTTCTTTTTTTAAAAAAGTGTGCTATTTGATGTCCAATTTTGTATTGCATGTAAGAAAAGATGTATTACATATAAGAAAAGAATAACATTAATTGTTACCCGTGGTCTTATTTAAAATTTTGGCAGGTAAAACTTTTTGAATGTTCTAAGCTCAGAATAGCTGGTCTGAGTGTTCTGAGGCTGAAACGAAACAGTACATATTCTAGAGTTTTCTCTGAAGCTCAGGACAAAACAGTGTTTCATTCCATATTGTTTCAAGATTCCAATATCCCATAATTACCTTGTTTTAAAAAATGGGAAGCAGAGAGTCCATGGGTCAAGCTATTAGTAGGCATAAGTTTTATCTCTCCGATTGGGAGGAGCTAGCTGAAGGCAGGAATTGGGTCAGGATTTATGGTAAATAGATTTATTTGCTGTTTTCAAATTCTTTGCTGTAAAGATCAAGTTCATTGTAGCTGTCATGTTTTGTATGCACTGTGCTTTTTTTAGACAGTCTGTCAAATGTAAAAAGATGCAGAGCTCATGTGCATTAGCAGCAGCAAACAGCCAGAGGTGTTTTTGCTTTTGGGTATGTTTATGGGTTGAGTTGAAAAGATCCAGAACTTCCTATAGCATTTTTTATTGTCCCTCATAAATGCTTCTGGGGATCAAGCAGTGCTGTTTTATCAAGTTGCAAAAAAGCTATATAAATATCTTAAAGAAATAAAATAAGTTCCCAGTTATATGGGATGGGACTCATGAAAAGTGCTTCTGCTCAATTCTGAGGTGATTTCTCCTTCCCCTCAGTTTTTCCAATAATAGTCCATTATAAGTAGTATAGTAACCTGCCTACTTAATACAGTCTTCTATTGTTTGTGTAGAACTGGGAGTGGGTTTATAGGAGCATCAGTCTCTATTTCTATCAACTTCATTGTACATCTAAATCTGAATCCATTGTATTGTTTAAGGAAGAGGCTATACCTATCTGCATATATAAATCCCAGTGTCCTGTGGCCTAGTTCTTCATAAATGAGTTTAAAATTAAAGCCATACACGAAATGGAGAATTAATCCTATTGAATTCACTTTTACTTTTAGGTAGCAATATATACAATTGTTCTGTTAAAATTCAGCAGTTATTTGCATTTTTAGCATCTCAGGAGAAAATGACATATTGTACATATATAAAAATGTAGCTCCTCTTTTTTATGGATATTTACTGGTTTTATGCAGAGTAACTGCAAATTGAAGACCACCTATGGATTTTAATTTCAGTGTAGTTATGAACATAGTTTAAATTGCTATTAATCTGTAGAATGTGAGAGTGGAAAATCATAGTGCTGACAGAAGAAATGGTGAAAATTCTTTCTCAACACCACTTGACAGAAAGCATCCAAACTATTATATAAATGTAAAAGTTAACATTAAGGAGAGTCACGTCTGTTAGAATATGTGTTACAACTCTTCTATGCAAATAATCCTCTTCCTGAAAAATATGTCCTTACAGAAATATTTTAAATGGAGTACATAATAAAATAATACGTTAACACAATACTTTATGTCAGAATGTGTGTCTTTCACAAGTCTTTAGTTTCTTATTATTTTGAATCTGGACTGCCAAACTTATAGCATCTACATGCTAGATACTATAATTATGCTACTTGTAATTATACAACTATTTGTATAATTAGTAGTAGTATAGTAGTATATTATTAAAATTAGTAATAGAAAAATATTACTTATTAAACCCAAAACATATATCAATTCTATAATTATTACTGCCTTCCCTATTCTGATGATTATTTATAACAGTTAAACAATGAGAGATACCAAAGTGATTCATCCAAATATGAGACCAGGATCCTGACAAAGCAATTTTCTGTGATCTATACACAGTGACTATTTCTCCCTCTCCTAAAATAAGCTGCAAAGATTTCTTCAGTCTGGATGATACTCATCTGAAACACATCGAGGGGAGACACAACCCAGTGAAGAGTAGAAATTCAAACAAACTAATTTATCTGAATATTATTAGCAGTGGAAACAATAGGATATATCCCAAGCCATGTATCTCTGCAAATGCCAAGATACATTTCTCCTAATAGGTTAATCTGAGATGTTGGATAGATTCATATATCATACTAAACCATAATATTAGTTATTAGGTTTTGGCTTAGTGCATTCCATGTATCCAGCATACTATAATTTATTCAAAAGCCGTGGTTAAACAAGACAATGTGCAAACATGACTGTGTGAGACATTTCTACTCAAAGAGGAGGAAAACCAATTTTTAGTATTTATATCATGCTGCACTTTCATTTTCTGTGCCATTCTGGAGAAATTGCAGAAGTCTTGGGAGAATAGACCAATGTATCTAACAGAATAAAAACTGGAGAAGTCCAATAGACATTGTCTGGACCCAGACATACCAAAAGAGACTCTCTCCCTAAAAAAGAAAAGAAAAGAAAAGAAAAGAAAAGAAAAGAAAAGAAAAGAAAAGAAAAGAAAAGAAAAGAAAAGAAAAAAGAACCAACTGGAAAAGCACTGAACTATTTCATTCCAGCTCACAAAAAGAATTGATAGTCTTATTATTGTACCAGACATAGTCTAAATAGACCTTTTAGTGTTGGAAGGCAAATCAAAACCTAAAAGTTATGGCATTACTTATGCAACTCCCAGTTTCCTCAGCCAGCTACAGGCTCTGATTCTCCATCTTACATTCATCCAGAGGCACTATCAGCCCTCAGGAAAAATAATTCACCTTGTATGACCATAAGCTGCCTAGAGTCGCCTTGGTGAGATGGGCAGCATAGAAATCTAATAATAAATAACATTTTTAAAAAGTAATTTGGAGAGGGAGAAGGAGAAGTCTTTAAGCCATCATATAAGTGCAGTTCCATTTAGTGTTTCTGGAACTAGTCCTTTGCTTATACCATCAATCACAGTAACATGCCATGAAGGTAACAGAAATAGCATCTGCCTTTGTTTCCATGTAAACATATATAGGTTAAAAAATATACACAACCCATCACTTCCTGCCTTATTGTGGGAAAGAATAATTTTTTACAGAAACATCAATAGTTTTAAGCCCCACTGAGAAATAAAATGGTATCGCACAACAGAAGAAGCCTAGCATAGTTTACAGTCACTTATACTATAGCTGAATGAGTGAAATGTGAGGGGATATTTGCCAAGCTACTTGACACTTTCAAGTCAGCTTAATCAGATACCCTTTCATTTCCTGTAGTGAGAGACCATATTCTGCTACTCACTATACATCAGAATCTATTTACATATTCTAAGAGAAGAGATGAACTCTCAAAGTGTGTCATTTGGTTGCACTTTGGTGTCCTTTAAAATCAAATAATCTGTGTTGGAAAAGGAGGCCCCAAAAAAGCAATATTCAGCAAGTAAGATAATATTCTCATTGCAGAGCTATACGCTCCTAAACTTTTCATTATAAGCTCACCTTATTAACTGTGTGGTAGAAGTTTAAAAGTTTTCAGAAACATACAGATTTGAGGCTTTCTTCTTCAAAAGCACTGTACACAGATCATGGATTCAAAAATGGTTTAGGGTTGTAAGTTAATGCACTGTTTGCAGACTGATGTCAGTTTCCTTTTAAATTGAACTTGCATCAAAAGCCACAAATCATATTTTTGTATTTAGGAACATTTATAGAGTAATTGGATCTTTGAGGAGGAAAGAGAACAAATACACAATCTGTAGAGCGGCTGGCTTTGGATATGCACACATAAGCTAAGCTGTTGGCTTTATTCAAAGTGAATTTGTTAATAAAGAATGGAGAAAAATCAGGCAGCTTTACACATTTCTTTTCTTTTTGCAAATGTTCCTTTTCCAATCTATATTGAATGAGTGTTAGAGAACAATATACACAAACTACAATTTCACTTGCAGCAGAGGAGAAAAGGTAAAGTAAGCTGATAGCCAGCATGGAAACTTCTATTTATATGAAATAATAATCTGCTTAGCCTCATGATCTCCTTTCTAGATTTTTTAATAATTGTATTAAAGTTTTCCAAGACCGATATTAAAATTGAAATTGAATTTTAGACTATTTCACACAGCATATAAAAGCTTGTTTTTATTTCACTATTTGTGAACAAAACCTAAACAACTGTACACACGAATATCCATAGTTTACAAACAGCTATTTTGGAATATGTGTGGCTGAAATTCAAACTAAAATCTTCAGAAAAAGCAACGCATTGTTGCAGGAGAATGGAAACTCAAGTTGCAGAAAGCATGGAATAAAGAAACTCAAGGAAAAGATATAATGAATATGAAAAAGAGAATCATAGAAGAATATAGGAAAAAAAACATTTCAGGATCATAGTTATCAATGGCATACCTAGAATGTTTGAAGCAGATCATATTTTAATACCCCACCCCCCACCCTTTCCGTTGCTCCTGTGCCATGCCACCCACAGCCAAACAGCTGATTGGAATGCTGGCAGCAGTGATCTGGCTGCACACCACCGAACCCCCCAGATACCTCCTCATTATCCATGTCACCAGGCAGTGCAATCCCATATTGTCAGCACCTGTGGCAGACTGTTCCTACTATCCCATCCTTTATTTATACACCTTATTTGTTTAAAACATTTATACAGCCTGCCCCACCTTCTGATCAACTCTCGGCAGCTCCCAATTACCCTTGATATGCCACTGATAGTTATCCAAGAATAGGGTATTTGATTACTTACTGAGAATCTTTGATAAGAGGTGCATTCCCCAGTTTAAAACATGGTTTTTCAACTCCACATGAAGTCTGCCTCAAAGAGAAGCTTTCTGCTAAATCAAAACCTGAAAGATGTAATCAAGCTGTATCATCAACTGCCCACTTAATACAATTTATCAAGACAGATAACATTGTTGATAGATTAACTGAAATCTTGGCCCGATCCCAGTTTTCATTGTTGATAGTACGCTCATAGGAAATTCTCCTAGTAGTTGACTTGGCAACCTCTGCGGAATGTACTTGTCATTTCCTTTCGCATCTGAATGAGCTGGAAATGCTGCTTTCATTCTTTCATAGTAATTAAAGCAAAGATGAATTAAAATCAGAAAGATGATTCTAAACTTATTTGCAACACTCCAAATAAAATGTTCTCCTCTCAATAGATCAGATTTCCAAAGATGAAAGGCACAATTTATTATTAAAACCAAGGTATGCATTGTAATAGTGTTGGACATTACCTGAAACCCTTAAGTTTTCTTTGCACAGATGGGTGAAGTGATGTCCTTCTGCTTTCAATATTGGGCACTCAGGAGCTAAAAAAAGAATATAAAATGTCCTAAACTTTAAGAAAAAACTGAAACAACAGATTCCACTGTCTGCTGCAATATGTCTAACCTTAATATAAGAAATAATCAGCGGTGTGCAAACTGAAGATACTTGGACTTCCAACCAGCTTCAACAGCTTCTTCAACAGTCCTTGTAATTTCTTTGCAGTTGGTATGGTGCACAGGAAAATTTCAAAATAAGCATTAAATGTCCAGCTAAATGGCAGCATTGAGCCAATCGTGACTGATCTTGAAAAAGTTGAATCATATCTACAGGTAGTCCTTGGCTACGACCACAATGGAGTCTAAAATTTTGGTCGTAAATCATTGTGGTTTTAAGTCAAGGCAGCTAGTGACCAGAATCAATTTTGCAACCTTTTTTTACAATAGTGATAGTCAGTCACCACAGTCATTAAGCAAACCACATGGTCATTAAATGGATCCAGCATATACAATGGGATTTTTTTGCAATTTTCTGCCAGAAAAGGCAAAAAAAAAGTCACAAATTGCAGATACATGACCGTGGGATGCTGCAACCAATTGTAATTGCGACCCGGGTCCCAAGCACCCGAAATGCAATCACCTGTCCCCTGATGTGTGTGTTGGTGTGTGAGGCAGTTGGAACTTAAAGGGTGCTTTTGTGAAATCTGCTATAACTTTGAACAGTCATTAAGCAACCTGTCATTAAATGATGACTACCTGTAGTTAACATTTGGATGGGGGATCACAAGGACTATAGTCAGTATTGAGAACTGTGAAAAACCATTATGGAATTGCCCCAATGACATGTCAGTTCTGTACTGTTACACTGAAGAAGACTACATGGACTGCTCCATGAAGCTGCCAGATATTGTACTTGACTCAGAGAACACTTGAACTAGAAATAGATTTACTTGATAATGTAAACTAAAAAACTAGTTTAACATCAAAACGTCAAGAAATCTCTAAATATAGAACAATTCTGCCCATCCAAATCTGTAATCTACATTCACTACAGACCACAAAAACAAAAATAAATGAAGCCCTGATTGCCCATTGCAGAACATTATTAAAGTGCAAACTTGCTATTTTTTTAAAAAAATACTAGTAATATCAACATATAATATGTGACAACTTACCCTGCCCTGAAATGTTTATTCTACAGTATTTGAAGTTGAAGAGCAAGGTGATGAAGGAAGCAAATGAGATTCAATTTATATAATTCATTTTAATATACATTTGACAAAAGCCTGATTTGGGGGAAATATGGGAAGGGATTTGAAGGAAGAAAGATGATATCTTTGTTCTTAAATGGAAGTCAGTAGCTAAAGGGCAGAAGAAAGAAAAGCTGAAATTCTCTTAAGAGAGAAAAAAAAGAAGAGATGTGGGTAGTTAAACTGGAGATTTTGGGCAGGGCTAGATTAGAAACTGACAGCAGCAAGATATAAAGAGAATGGTATTTCAGAACTTTGAAGATGAAGGTTCAGTAGGAATTTTGCCTAGTCATTTGTGTTCTAATGATGAAGGAAGGAAGGAAGGAAGGAGGGAGGGAGGGAAGGAAGGAAGGAAGGAAGGAAGGAAGGAAGGAAGGAAGGAAGGAAGGAAGGAAGGAAGGAAAGAGGGAAGGAAGGAGGGAAGGAAGGAGATAACCGATAGCAGATGTACTGGAACTTCTAATTAGGTATTCAAGGTTGCCTTCTCTAAGTGTCTTCAAGTGAAAAAATTCTATCTGGGGGGATGGCTCTCCTGTTTGTTTTGTTTTGCTAAATGGTTTAATTAGTCTTGTTTCCAACTACAGAAGAAAATTTACATACACATATCTACATTTATGTATTTACTTGATTTCTATAATATATAATATAATTATATAATATATAATATATAATATAATTATATAATATATAATATTTCTATTATGTTCTATTATAAATATACATATACATATACATATACATATATATATCTTTGCATGCAATTTTTCCACAATGAACTGCAGCTGGATATTGCTTTTTGCTAAAACAATATGATTGTGGTTATTTTCCTATAATACACAAATTTGTGTGTGCGTATTTCAGGTTCTCTTAAACAATCCTAAATCACTATCCTTCTAACAATTCTTATGAGACAAATTTCTGATCCAACTCTACTTTTATACCTTCTTTCCTTTATTGCCTAAGCAGCTTTATAGGTGAATTTTCTCCAGTTCCATTACTTGCTTAGTCATCATTTTAAAATAAATCTGCATTCTAAAAAATGTAAATAAAAATATTGTATGCCTTTAAAATCTCATGTCATTTAGGCAATAGGGGAAAGAATCTGAAAACTGATCAAGCAGGAAAAAAAATCATTTTCTTTCTACTATTCTATTCTTGTGAAGTGTCATTCACATAGGGAGAGGTTTTTAAATTTTTGTTTACAAAATATTAAACAACTTGTGTTCCACTGAGTCATCCTTTCAAAATTATTTCCTTACATAAACAGAGAAACAGAATGATCACACCTGGGCAAAAACAAACAAACAGACAGACAAAAACAACCAGGGGGATTT